CAACGTACATTCTAGAAGCCCTCACTTTCGAACGGCGACGGCCGCGACGAGACGCCAGCTGGACGCACCATACAAACAGAAGGTGGTCATGACCCGTCGCGTTCGAAGTAGCCAAGATCGCCTAGCCGTCCGAGCCATACGCTGCGCTGGAATCGAATTTGGCTCCGCCACCATCGCCATGGAATATTGTTGGGTCTCTTCGGTGCGTCGTCATGCAGCCAAACGCCTGACGTTGTGTCGTTCGTTTCGTGCGCAAGTACAAGGGCGACACCGACGCGCGCGTTCGTCGAACCGCTCGCGCATGGCCTTTCTTCGCTACGTTCTGTATCGAACCACGAGCCTTGCGAGCGACGCTTGATGGGAGCGTGGCGTCTACTGTGGAGCGCGCTACTGTGCAAGAGGGGTCTGTCATAGCATTTGTCGGTCTGGTGTGGGAGTGTACACGTAGCAATGCGTGAGCTAGCACAATGGCTGCCGTGCACGAAATTGACGCCAATGGTTTGCACCAGAAAGCGCCGAGTCCACCGGGCGCTACTTGTGTTCCAGACGCGATCCGGTGCAATGACCCTTGGTGCAGTCGCTACCTGGTTCCTCTTGCGAGCCACGATGACTAACGGTACTCGCTGACGCACCGGCCACGCCTCACAGCACATTAGGTAGTCCACCACCTTATCTTTATAATAGCATGCGAATGAATATCATATTGAATCAACTACAGCTTCATTCTGCTCCGGTTTCATAACGTTCAAGTTACCATGAGTCGGTCGGCGGCCACCCGCCTGGTCGAGAGCGACGACGACGACGAGTATGGCAACAACAGCCAGCACGACGTGGTCTTGAGCCGCGAAGACTTCGACTTGCTGCAGGTCGTGCGTCTCCTCTTTGCGAGCTCACGGAAAGAGACAGGCGTTCCACAAGCTCATTCCAGTGCCGGCGCTCGCGTCCGGCATCACGCGCGTCGTGTGCGACGAAGAGCTCCAAGTTGGCGACGAAGCGGTGCACTCCTTTTGCCATTGGTCGGCTCAAGGATGCAATAGATGCCGGCGCCTGGTCCCGAGGTCGACGACGTGCCCGAAGCAGCCTCGCTGAGCGCGAGTGCATCGCACGTCTCGATCGTCCGGCGCCTCTCGCGGTCCTCGACGCCGGTATCATTTGCCGCATTTCAACCAACGTGATGAGCGAGAGTAGGAGGGCGTCTTGCGACTGACCAAGCCGTTGACCAAGGAGGTCGACCTCGCCAAGTTTACACCGCGCCAGCCCCAGCCACCGCGCACGCCCAAGCGTACCTAGTCTCAGCGATACAACCGTGCACGCCTCTTCTATGCCCATGATCCAAGCAAATGCAAACAAAGGAAAGAGAATGAACACGAGAGATTCACATGAGAACGCTCCAGACGCCGGACCTGATCTCGAGTGCTAGTAGCCCGCTTCGTGCAGGTTGATAAGAGCACCGTCATTACAGTGGCGGCTGGATGGTCTAGAGCTCGACGCGAGCGTACCGTGCTGGCGCGAGGAGGAGCGTCACATAGTCGCGGATCGACGCCTCCTTCCACGATTCGACCCTACGCAGCGCTGGTACGTTTCCTGAGGGACATGGACGTACTCGACTGTGGTGTGCAGGGCGCCCGTGTTGTCGTAGAAGCGCAACTGCGGCTTGTGGCCGTGTTCATACTACGGCAGCGATCGCACCTCGCCTTCGACAAGACTAAGACTGGCGGTGCTACCTGGACCGAGAAGGTGGGCAGCGACCATTGGCCATGGTTCTGTACGAGCTGGACGACCTCGGGGTACCGGCGCAGTGATCAGGAGCAGACGCGGAGCTGCGCCGACGCATACGTTGTCCGAGGCGTGCAGCACTCGAGGCATTCGCCCCGCGTCTCGGCATCGTTCCGGCAGCTGTCGCAGTCGATGGCCGTCGCATCGAGCCCCAGCGCTGTGCATTCGTCGCGCGTGAGCACCGCCGCGAGCGCGCCACCAAGGAGCGCAGCGACGAGGCTTGAGCATCGCATGCTGGAAGATCGCACTGTGCGATCGTCCGGATACGAGGCGCCGCGGCTGGTTTCTGGTCTCTGATCTCGGATCGCGACCAGGCAATGGCCAACCGCACTACAACAGCACTGTTCTGGGGCTATCGACGTCCAGACGAACCTGCAGCAGCTCAGCACCGCTGTACCCTGGCCATAGGAACTCGTGCACTCTCGTCGTTTGCCCATTTTTGTCTGCAATGACGGTGGGCGTTGCATCAAGATCGATAAGATCTTGTTGAAGCAAGGCCACTTGAAGGTGGGCGCGATACGACGAGAGTGCACTTTGCACCCACTTCAACGCCGACAAGATCCGTTCGTTTCACAGCCAAGGAGTTCATGTACAGGTTGACTACCTCAGTACACGGCGGACATTTGTCATTGTCTTAAGCGAGTTCGTTCTAACTCTAGACGGGCTATTATATTCCATCGCAGTGGCTCCCATCGTGCACCCATACACACCCCTTCGCTCGAAGCCCGAAATGTCCTCCGCCCTTTCTGCACCGGGCGAGCGCATCATGTCCTGCGTGTCCACTCGGCGTTGGTCGTGATGGCCATCGCGACCACGCGCTTCCAAGCCTAAATATGGTGCAGCGATGCGCTCGTCACGACCTAGACATAAGAGAGAGCGCTTAGTGAGCTCTAGCGAGGTGCTTTAGCTGGTACGTACTGCGCTCGTCCCTCACGCTTTGCTCGGTCTATGTCTCGTTATGCTAGATACGAGAGCCAATCAGCGATGGCACGCGCTCATGCTGCAGGACATCCTGCACGTTCCAACGTCAAGTTACCGTGCGCAATCGACGTGGGGACGACGCATTGGTCGTCGCCAAGTCACTTGGGGTTTGTATCGGACGCCCCTCCGGATGAATGACACATGTTAACCGGTTGGCGCTGAAACATTCGGTTGGTATAAGCTCAATCCGGCCACCACCACCAGCGCGACGACGCAGTGTCCAAGTCGACGACCTCTGAACGATGGGCGGCAAGAAACCTCTCAACATGCAAAACACGCGCGGGACGTGGAGCAGCTCGCCGTCACACCACACCTTCTCCGCCTCCAACCTCGCCATGAGCGACTACGCCGGCCCGTTCCACCAAGCCACCGGCCTCTACGACGTGGGTCTCTTGGATCTTGGCCACCAGCCGCCGCCGCCGCCGTCAACCCCGGGCGGTAGGCCTGCCATGGCGAGACATCGTTGCGATGCTACTGTGCGTAGGCCCGTCGCTCATGCATGGCGTCATTGGCTCGACGCGCCCGCCGCTGGGCTTTGTACGCCGACGCTGCCACTGCAACGATTCTCATTCGTGATGGCAAATAGGAGCGCGCCGACCTCTTTGCCAACGACATGATTGACGCCAAGGTCTCGGAGCTTGTCGAAGCTATTGGCTCAAGCATGCGCCGCCAGCTCAAGCCCATCGTACGTTGCCTCGGCGAAGTCGCACTGCTCACACAAGGGTAGGCGCAGGCGCAGGGCGTGACGGGCGCGTGCAACTGCAGCGACGAAGTCTCCGAGTTGCGGCAGATGGTGCTCGACATGCAGCGCCAGATCCAAACGCTCTCGAGTCAGCAAACCGCAGACAAGTCGGCGTCGCGTACGTTTCTGCATCTGAATACAATCTCACGCAAGGCCACGTAGCCAAAGAGTCCAAGGAAGCGTCCGTGGCGGCCGTCATGGACCGTGTCTCGACGCTCGAGGGCCGGCAGAGTGCATTCCAGTCGCAAATGGCGCAGCTCTGCAAGTCATTGGGCACCGTCCCGAGTGCGTACCCGCTCTCTCGATGCTTGCATCTTATCTACGAACGTAGCGGGCAAGAATAGCAGTGGCAAGGCCGGAGGTATCGCTCTTCCGAAGCCTCTGCTGCAAGAACTGCGAGATGAATTCGACACCAAGCTCAACGCCGGTACCCCATTTTGGCTCTGGGAGCGTTGCCGCTGATGAGCCATGTCGCCTCTAGCGACGCTCAAGCTCGAGACGGCCATGAACAAGCAAATCTCGGTTGCAATGGCCTCGACCGAGCAGCACATTGCCCAAGACATGGACGGTACGTTGCACGGATCCGCGTCACATGCGCTCAGTTCATGCATAGGACGCTTCAAGTCGATGACATCGATGCAGTACGACGACATTCTCAGGTACACTAGGGCTCCTAGCAGCAACATGCTAACTTGGACTAGTTTGGTCTCGAGCGAGACGGACATTTGCCTCCAAAACACCAAGCAATGGCTCGAGGATAAGGTCGCACAGGAAGCGAAGCACCGCATGGCGCTCGAGGCCCGCATGAACCAGCAGTTTGAGAACCACGTCGAGTGGCTGCAGCAGCTCGAGTCGGTCGGGGGCAACTGGCACGGCACGTCGCCGCCGTACCAAGAGCAGATCGACAAGCTTGCTACGCACGTCCAGCAGCTCCAAGCCAACGTCGTGGCCAACGCAAGCACGAAGAAAGGAGACAAAACAGGTCCATTTTCAAAATTTAGTGATCACCAACTGCCGTGTCTCATGCGATATGCCATGTATAGCGGGTCTGACGCAAGCCCAAGTCAAGCAGATCCTGCACGACATGAAGGCTGTCACGGAGCAGTTGGCGCTGCTCGATATGGCGTGCGGTACACATATTGTCTGCAAATCATGCATGCTTAATGGCGTGCGTCTAGCCAAATCCTCGGAAGCGAGCGAAGAAAGCAAGAAAAAAGTGGTCGGGCTACAAAAACTCATTGAAAAGATGATGCGCGACCAAGGCTCGGTCGAACAACTCCTGCAGCAATACGTCAGGTGCGGCCTCGAACCCATGACCGTTGACTTGAATTTGCTTGTAGCACGATTACGCACCAGGTAGCGAGCGTGACCCGGCAGTACGTGTCGGTGCGCATCCGCGACAACAACCGGCTGCTCGATGCCACGCTGCGCGCGCGGATCCCTGCGTATGTCGAGAACGAGACGGAGAGCTTCATGCTCGTACGACCGACGAGTACCCCGTCGAGCCCGCCCGAGCGTCTTGGCCTCGCCGACGGTACACTGATTATGGCCCGAGGCTGTGTCGCTCACAGTGCCGTAGGCGCACCGGGGCTCGTGCTGCGGGACGACGGTGCAGCGATCAATGAGATGCTTCTCGACAATGTACTCAAGATGGACTTGCCGGCGCCCGCGCCCGCGCCCACCAAGCAGCCTTGAGCCACTTCAGAACTCGACCAGAGGCCAATGTTATAAACACGCTCCTTTGTGTGTCTTGGTCGTGGCAGCGCTTTGGCAGCTCGGTGCATTGGCGTGTGAAGGCTGGATATACCGTCATCACGTGCAGAGAAGAGCATACCGGCAACCTGTCGATGCCAACATCTCTTGGTGGCGCGATCTTGACCTGTTGCGCGACTGCGGTTTTGTGCGTATTGCTGAGGCTGGAGGTGCACAGCGCCCGAGTCCTTAGCCATGAACATCGCTTCTTCTCTCACATGGAGTTGTAACGTCATCGTTGGCGTAGTATAGACATGTGGTGGACCCTACCCCCACTGCAGTGTAATATATATATATATATGAACGTATTTCGCGTTATCTTCATAATTACACAAAGACTTTGCAGACGTAGAGCCTAGTAATCTCCTTCATTTGCTCGCCGGTCCGTGGCTGCGCAGGCGGCGGCGCGGGGTCGTCTGGCTCTTCTGTCGTCACCCGACACGCTTGTGGGCGCGGGTGAGGCACTGGACGACACGGTCGGTCAAAGCGTAGTAGTGCAGGAAACGACAAGAGCAAGTGCATTCACCATAGTACGCAAAAGTATATATTCACAAATGAGCTACAAATTACGCGTCGTCCTTGTGCGGGCCAAAGTACTCAAAGTGCATGTGGTCCTCGGGCACCTTCCAGCCGCGGAGGATGGTTTGGATCGAGTGCATAAAGCCGGGCGGACCGCAAAAGAAATAGTGTGCGTCCTTGTTGGGCACGATGGCCTCGAGCGCCGCGGCGTCGACCGGCGCGTTGTAGAGCGCGTGGAACTTGAAGTTCGCGTGCGTGGCCGCGCGTGCGACAAACGTGTCGTGCAGCGCTTCGACCGACGGACTCCGCGCCGCGCTGAGCATCGTGATGGAATTCGCGCACTTTTGGTTCAGGAGGAGGTCGTCGACCATCGACGCGAGGGGCGTCACGCCGACGCCGCCGCTCAAGAGCACGATGGGCTTGTTGTGGTCGACAGTCAGGAAGAAATCACCGCAGGGCACACCGACCTTGACGACGCTGCCTTCGCTCAGCGCGTCGTGCAGGTACGTCGAGACTTGGCCGACGGGTCCGTCGTTGCTCAGCGGCGCTTGGCGCTTGACCGTGATGCGGTATTCGTTGGCGTCTAGTCCCACGATGAATATCCATAGACCAAATGACAATCCTGTACATACTCGGTGCGTTGGACAACGAGTAGTTGCGCTGCGTCGTAAATTCGGGCGTATCGAAGCGAAGGCCGACGTACTGCCCGGCTTCAAACCCGACCACAGGGCCGCCGTCCTTGGGGCGAAGGTACAAGGACGTGATCTCGTCCGACTCTGTCACTTTTTTCGCAACGACAAAGTCGCGCCAGCCTTCCCAGCCACCGAGAGCCGCCGCTTTCTCTTCGCGGAGCTTGCGCTCGCGCTCGATGAGGATGTCGGCAAGGAACCAGTAGCCCTCGCCCCACGCCTTGAGGATCTCGGGCGTCGCAGCGTCGCCAAGCACCGTCTTGATGGCGGCCAAGAGGTGCGTCCCCACGACGCCATAGTGTTCGGGCAGAATGTAGAGCGACACATGCTTTTGCGCCATGCGCTCGACGGCCGACGTGAGCACGCCGAGGTCTAATAGCATAGCATCAGTATATGCGCCAAGTATCGGCGTATGCACGTACTGTCAATGTTGGCAGCGTAGGCGCCAACGGCGGCAGCGAGTGCGGACGGCTGGCGCGCGCGGGTCTCGCCCGGCAGCACCTTTTGGTGGCTCGGGTTGAAGAGCGCCGAGATGGCCGGGTCGCTCGTGAGCATCGTGCCATACATGGTGCTGGTGATCGTATAGCCGTGCTCGGCCACGACGGGGCTCGTTGCCTTGATGATGCTGATCGTGCTCGGGCTCAAGGTCGCGAGCGTCCGGCAGCCGAGGCGCTTGGCCGTCGACGAGACGCTGGAGCGGAGGAATTGCATGTCTGGAAGAGAAGGCAAATGGAAAAGTGATCTTGTGGGCAACGGCGCCAGGGATAAAGGAAGGTTGAAGTGACCTACACAAAACCAAGTTGGCTCGTTACAAAGAAAATGGCGCCAAGGTGAGCCGATTGCGAGGCCACGAGACGCATTGATTGGCTCAAACGAAGCGATTTCAACGGAACGAACCAATCCGACGCGTCCATTTTATCCGGATCCGGTAAAGCATCCGAAAGGCCTCGCAAACATGCCTTGTCGCGTTCGGTTCTATGCACGACATGGCGACCGACAAAAGGCGTCGCACGGCCACGGTGTCAAGCATATACTCCGACTATAATTATACGTAGTAGGAAATAACGTAGTTATTAAGGTGAAGACTGGACGATCCAGGTCTTAACTCGAACAGTCAAATATCTTCGAGACTTCGATGACCTGTATCTTTGAATGTATCATTGTTTTCGATGGGATAAATCAGTCAAAACCTCTTATACTGAATATAACGTGCCTGAGGCGTTTGAACGCATTGCTGCGCGTGCACTTGGGGAGACTTGATGCGCTCGCGCTGCCTCTTTGGGACGCGTACACGACCTACGATAGTGCTATGTGCAGTGGCATGCGGCGGTGTGGGCTCATCGTGGCTCGAGCGACTCGCGACCACGTTAGGGCACGATTACCCTATTTAACGTATGTGCGTTAAAGTGTTTGACGGCAAATTTGGTTTAAAACGCTCCTGTTGGCGGCCGCAGAAATCGGATGAACGCGTTCGAGTACCTCGCGACGCGGCCCGTCGCAAGCGTCGACCGGCTCTTCGACGACCCATGGGCGTGCCAAGCCGTCTTCCAGAGCCTGCCCGCGCTCTCGCAGCAGATCGTCATGCGCCTCCTCTTCGCCGCCGGCGAGACGACCCGCGAGACGATCCTCTCGTGGGTGCTCGAGTCGGCCACGGACGCCATGGTCGCGGCCATCGACAAGGTAGACCGCGCAGCATGACGACTGCACGGCTCATGTGCTGTAGCTCTTGCATCTTCGTGTCTTGACCAAGGCGCCGCATGGGCTAGCGCTCAACACACACTTCCAGGCGCAGCTGCGCACCGCGCTGAGCTCGCTCGGCGGGTCGCCGTGGGAAGACGGCCGGCAAAAGCTGCCAGCCGAAAAGCCGATTGCAGCGCTGGACCTCGAGCACTATGCGCGCACGCGCTGGGATGCTGTGCTCCACTTTATGGTACGTTGGCTTTTGCGCGCGTCGTCTCATGCTCGGCGCAGGTCGGGTCGACTGCCGTGCAGGCGCCGCCCGATACGGTCGTGCAAATCCTCGAGCAGACCAAGCTCATGCAGGCTTCGCCCGAAGACCGCCGGAAGCTTCACATTACGGACACGGGCTACGAGTTTATGCTCAAGGACATTCATGCGCAGACGTGGATCTTTGTGCTCGAGTACATCAAGAACATTGACAAGCGGGGCGTCATGTCGGCCGAGGAGATGCTCCAGTTCCTCTTCCAGATGAGGTCGTCTCGTCCAGCATCCTTGGCATGTTCATCAAGTTGCGTGTAGCTATTGCCAAATGCACCAGTACTATGCGGTGGCCGACCTCACACGCAACCAGCAGCAGCTCCTCGGGGACCTCGTCGAGCTCGGGCTTTTGTACCGCAGCAACTCGCGCGCAACACGGTAGTCCTTGCGTCGTACGCTCGCCGTCTTCGACCCCTCTGTGTAGCTTTTACACGACGAGTTTGGCCGTCAACCTCATCTTTGGCGGGCTCGCAGGCCAGACGCGCCCTGCGATCCAGATGAACCAGTCGCTCGAGAACTTTCACCAGGCCGCGGTAGCCGCTCGACCAATGTGACCGTCGGCTCACAGAGTCTCTAGACGGTGCCCAAGGGTCCAAGCGAGGCCGGCGGCGCGTCGGCGTCGCATTTGAGCATCATTGTCGAGACCAACTTCAAGGTCTATGCGTACACGTCATCGAGCCTGCACATTGCGATGCTGAGTGTGTTTGTGGACATTGTGGTTTGTTCCGACAATATTGTCCACAAGTTGACTGGACAGCTCGACTAGGTCCGGCTCAAGAACATGGCCGTGGGCTTCTTGACGCGCGAGAGCATTCGGTCGGCGCTCATCCACGGCATCTCGGCCGAGCAGGTACCGCTTTTTTTGCTATTTTTCTGCAAAATGGACATGTTGTCGCGTAGATTTACGATTTTCTCATGCAGCACGCGCACCCCAAGATGGTGCAAAACACGCCCGTGATCCCTGAAAACATTGCCGACCAGCTGTACCTCTGGCAGCGTGAGCGCAACCGAATCCAGTTTGTACCTGGCGAGCTCCTCGAAGGCTTTACGCTCTCCGAGGTACGCTCTTCGACGTTTTGTCGTCTGTCGAGCGGTATTTTCATGTATTTTTTTCGTATTTTCGTAGGAGTTTGCGGCCGTCGTGCAGTACGCGCGGGATCTCGACGTCCTCACGTGGAGCGATGCATCGCAGCACAAGCTCACGGTCGCCCAGCACGGCGCCGACGCCGTGCGCAAATACATTCAATCGCTGCGGGGGTAGAGTAACTGAAGTAGTCGCGTGTTGCATGCCACCTTGCGTCGCTCAGCACCATGTACCGCATCATGCGATAGCATCGCGAGGCTTGGAATATGGTCGATCTGGGGGCATAAATTCAACTCGTTTGGTCGACGAAGTGTTCGAAGCGCGGTCGGCTCTCATCGCTAGTCGGTCACTTGTGGCTGTCGTGACGTGGTGGCCATCGACGCGGATGCAGCAGCTATCTACGACCTCATTCTCGGCAACTGCAGTCTTGGTGATCTGCCACTGCCGCAACGCCACTGGCGACGTGGTCACCGGCGCCCATGTCCATGAAGCACCGTGTTTGGCAGGTCCACGAGTGGGAACAGCGATGGCAGGTGGTGGAGAGCCCAGATGTGCCATGGCTGATGCGAGGATATCGTGGTCAGCAGTCGGCAGAGCAGCGATGAGCTTACGACGCTGTCAACTCTACGTGACGACTGGATACAGAGGTGGGCCCTCCTCTCGACGGACCAACGTGCGAGCCATGACAAACGCAGACGTGGACGTTACGAGGTATACCAAGCTGCTAGACAATGTTGTCGGCGTCGTACTGGAGCAAGACGACTTGCGAGCACATGGACGCGCGGAGGACCATCATACCAAGCGAGACGACGAGCGGACCGAGGACGAGGAGGTTGCTCGAGACTGCGACGACAAAGAGGAGGCCTGAGGCGTCGGCGTCGGTCGCCATCGAACGAGGTGCTGTCGATGGTGCGTGAAGTGACACTCTGGTCTGCGAAGCGATGTGAACGGCGTCAACAGCACGCAACGTACACGGAATAGGTCCTCGATGTACCCATCGGTGTCGATACCTATCACAAGGCGGAGCTGCCACGCTGGTGTCGTTGACAACTTGAATACGAGTCACTTGACTCGTTAAAGCAGCTCGAGATGCGCGGTCGCCTTGATCAAGGTCGTCCACGAACCAAAGGACCAACGTGCACTCAACCAGCGACGGAGCGACGTACATGTACCTGCATCGGCTGTGTAGGAAGAGTGGGTGCCATGCCACTGTTGAGTCTACCCCGGCACTGCACCATCGCCCAGCTGCCTCGCCGAGACCTTGGTTGACTCTGCCTACCCGTCAACGAGGCGACATGGAGTCGGTGGTCGGTGGTCGTATGAAACAGAGGCCGACTTTGTCTGTCGCCAAAGGACTAGCGCATCGACAGCATCGCACGTGTGATAACATCAGGTATTCCAGTTCGTTATCTAGGGGTCCACGGCAGTTACGAACAGACATGTCGTGTCTACGCGGTTTTGAAATCCAGTTGCAGCGTTGCACTCGGGCGTTCTTCTTCTGCGTTGGCCGGCGCAGAGCCTGCGGGCTTGGCTGCTCGTCGTCTTTGCACCAGAGCTCGCTGATACACACATCTACCAGCACACTCGTTCGTGTCGACACCAAAAGAGCCAAAGATCCCTCGGACATTATAGCGTAGACAGACATGGACGCAGAGTACATTACGACAACCAAGCGCATCACGAAACACTAGACCATATTGTCGGCGTCGCAGTGGAGCAGCACGACTTGGGAGCACAGCGATGCGCGCAGCACCATGGCACCGAGCGAGACGACGAGCGGACCAAGCAGAAGCATGTTGTTGGAGAGAAGGAGGAGCGCCTCGGCACTTTCAAGCGCCATGGAAAAATCAAAACTGGTTTCCCAACCGATCTGTCCGCTGACCAGGTGGTGATGGGTTCGGGTGTAAGATGTTCACTGGGTCAGAGTAATATTGGCCGGTCTTGTGTATGTTGCGAAGATTCGGCGCGAATCTAGAATCATTGAAGCTACTACAAAACGCTGGTTGGCGCGAAACGCAGCCGGCGCCAAAACGACGCACGACATCACTGCAAGGTCGTCCCCAGTTCTCTATACATAACACAAACGAACGTTGGCAAAGAGAGCTTGACGCTCCTTGACCTAACTGGTATGAGACTAGGAACGACCTGCCCCATCGTACATTGCCAGCTCCATGCATAACGTGGACGTGGGACCTGACGTCACGGACGCGAA